TCCCTTGTCCTCCCTTCCCAGGGGACGGGGCTGGCAGAGCGCGCTGGCCGCTCTGCTGACCGCCGCCCGCTCTGAGCCCAGCACTCTGCAGACACACGCGTATGCGCACGCACACGCACACCTCAGTACAGGAACACACACCCCCGCGGATATGTATGTGGCTATACGTAACGAAGACATTACACCTACAGGTGCACACATGCACACATACATACATGCATATTTTATACAATACAGTATACATGCCAAATCTGTATGTATATACAGGCACACACTTCTTTTTATATATGTGAAAAAACAGAAGACATCTTCAATAAGCATATCCATCTCTCCCCATGTATATCAATGTAGGGATGTATCCACAGGGATATACACATATATGTATATATGTTTACAACCACACACTACACATGCTTTTATTTATTCTTATGTTACATATACATCTATATGTGTGTGTGTATATATCTCTGTGTGTGTAGGTATGTATGGGGATATAAATATATAATACGTTAGACATAAATATTTGATGTCTATAACATATACATATATATTCAGACATCTCTCCACCCCTTTACATATATCTTTATGTATTTTTATATATTTAATATATGTATTTAGACAAAATATCTATGTATATATATATACAGATACAGCCTCTCACACACACCTTTACACATATATAGACATATATATGTATCTTTATATATGTAGTCACACACATACCTTTATAGGTATATAAATCTTCTCTCATATATATGGAGATGTATATATATTTGGAGATACATACGATACATTATACACATATGCACAAACATGTATATATTTTTACTTAAGTCTTGTATATATGTCTGTGTATTGGGGTTTGTGTGTATATATATGTGGAATACAAATATATAACACATTATAGATATATATGCATAGACATTTATACACTTATTTATATAATATGCATGTATATAGACATATCCTTATACATCTTTTAATAAATATCTATATTTCACTGTGTGTATACATACTATATATAGGGATGTATATATGGGATTATACACATACAATACATTATACATGTACACACATGTATATATCTCTTCTATATATTACATGTACGTGTACACGCAGACCCACACCTCTTTTTCTATATCCCCGTGTATATGTGGAGATGTATACATGAGGCTATACATATATAATAAATTATACCTACACACACTTTTATAAATATATATACGTAAGGGGCCCCAGCTGCCCAGCCCTGCTT